CCTCAACCCCTTCAAAAGGATGGGGTTGGGCGAGGGAGAAACCTGGGGCTGTGCAAATAGGTCTGTGGGGGGGGGTGGGCGTGGGCAAGGGGATGGTTAGACCAGCACGGCAGCTGAAGAGGAGGGAGCGGGCGGGGGGTCTGCTGGAGATCCAGGGAAGGCCAGAGGGGTTGGAGCCAGGGAGCCGAAGGAGGTGGGAGGTGTGGGGCTGGAGCCCAGAAGCGGGGTCCGTTCTGAGACAGGTTGGTCCCCTGGCTCCCCTTCTTCATCACCCTCTGGCCCCTGAGTTTCGTCCTCCTGTTCCTCGTCCCCAGGACCCCGATGGACAGGCTGCTTGCAGATGGGGCAGGTCTTCCGGGTCTGGGTGAGCCAGGGGTCCACGCAGCGGCTGTGGTAGGCTGCAAGAGGCACGGGGTGAGGTGGTGGGGGGAAGGGGTGAGGCACTGGCGCCTGTGGGGAGGCCTGGGGGCCCGGGCACAGGGAGTGGAGGCCTCACCATGAGCACAGGGGAGCACCCTCAGCCTGTCCCCGTCCTCATACTCGTCCAGGCAGATGGCACAGACGTCATACTGGTCTCCTGCGGGGAGGAAGGGAGTCCTCCCGCTGAGCCACCCTGAGCCAGAAGAAGAGCTGAGAAAGGGCAGGGTGAGGCCACAGGAGGGCACGAGGAATCAGGGGTTCGAAGGGAGGAGCAAAGAGAAGCAGAGGTAAGAAGGGAAGTGGGTTTCTTAGGGGGAGGAGCGGAGGGGGGGGCAGGGCTCTGACTACAACCTTATATGGGCACTGGCGGCTCCAGGACCCAGAGACCCAGCCCCCCTCACCTGTGTCTTCCTCGGCCCAGTTCCTCCCCACTCCTGCCACGTCTCTGCTCTCTCCACCTCCCCTTCAGGCAAGGTCAGTCCTCCATTCGTCCCCCAACTCTTCCATTTCATCACCCGTGCTTTCCACCGCCTGCCCTATTCCCGTCCTGTCCTCACCGGCCGTGTGGATAGAGCGAAGGAAGGATGGCATCTCTGCCCCTGGTCTCCTGAGCTCAAACTCCTTTGGAACCATCTGGGAGAAAGGCCCCGTCTCCCCCTTGTGCCCCTCACCCTTCTGATAGTCATGCGTGGGAATCTGTTTCAGCTGCTCTTTGGTCAGTCGATTCCGCTGGAGCCGTTTCCGGTGCTGGACACAACGGACTATCTGGGGAGGGGGGGAGCGGACGGATCCACTTTAGGGAGCAAGACTGGGCCAACCCAGCACAAACCACCGCCACCTCCCGACCTAGATCCCGTCTGGCTTTAGAGGCCTCCAGCCCTCCCACCGCACTCCCCAGGCTACTCACCATCACTGCTCCCATGGCCAAAACCAGCAGCCCCACGATCCCTGTAAAAGGGATGAGGTAGTAGCCCAAAGGGAAGCTGTTGTCTGGGACCAGCAGCACCCGAGCCCTGAGAAAGGAAGACCGGTATCAGAGGAGCGGGAAAGACAAGGAAGAGGCACAGGGTGGTGCTGGGTGAGGCCCGCAGACGGGGAAGGCGTGAGAAGAAAGTCCAGAGGCAGCGAATGAAGGGCCCCGGGGCCTGGCCTCCAGGGGGGCGGCGGGAAGGAGGGCACATCCTACCCCTTCTCGTAGACGAAGAGGGTGCGCAGGTACTCGGAGCTCGTCTCCCCGATAAACACAGACGGGATCCAGATCTGCTGCTGGATTTCCTCTGCAGGGATCAGTGCGTCACCCCGGGGACCCGGTCCTCCCCTCGCATCCCCTGCTAACACTGCTAACGCGGTGGCTCTTTCGCTCCATCCCGCCCAAAGGACTGACTCGTTTTCTCCAAGCTCTCAGCGCCCCCACCATCTCAGCCTCAGCCCGGCCGTCCACACCCCCGACCTCACCGCTGTTCCACACCATGTTCAGAAGCTCGTTGGAGTTCACGTTGTGCACCACAGCTGCACCGTACCCCGCCTTCTGAGCATTGAGGACCTAGGGAGACAAGGCACGGGATGGGGTGTAAGGGACCGTCGCGGCCCTCGCCTCCCTCCACTCCCGGCGCCTTTTGTCACCCTCCGCTTCCCAGCCCCCCACTCCACATTCAGCAACCTTGAGGTCAAAGTTGCAGTCGAATCTTCGTAGCAGTGCAATAAAGACTGACCCGTTGACCGGGGCTGGGGGCGGTGGGGCAATGGGGCTGCAGGCATTGGCTGGGTGAGCCTCCACAAGGAAGCCCTGGGGAAGGGAAGCAAACAGCAGTTGGATTTCACCTGCTTGGGGTCCGCTCCCCACAAGGGCCCACCAAGCACACTGGCTCCCCCGTGCTGCACATACTCTGCCCCTCACTTTTCGTTTGTGGGGTGGGGGCGCCCCCCCGGAGTCAGGTACATCAAACAGCATCTCTTGACCAGACCTCCCACCACCTCTCTCCCTGCACCGGATGGGCTTACGCCCCACACTCTGCGCTGATTCAAACCCTGCCACCTTCCAGGCTCCCACATTATAAACCAATTCTCTGCTCATCCACGTCCCTTTCTCTCAAGCTCCACTTCACATCTCCTTCTGCAGCACAAACTCCTACAGAACATACTCCCCTCTGTTAAAAAAAAAAAAAAATCCCCAAATCG